TTGCTTAACTCTGCTCAAGTGATCATAAAGTCAGACTAAATGAGGCACGTGGTTCGCCCGCCTCCTCCTGTAAAGGGCGGTCTTTTAGAGGCTTTTTTAAACAGTTAAGCACTAAGCAGAGTCATCCACTGTGACTCTGACAGTAACTACCTCAGCCTTTTTCCTTTTAATTTTTTTTCTTTTCATGATGACAGTGGTGAAGCTCTGCCTCCCCTGCTTCCCCTGACTGCACGTCACTGATCTAGAGTAAATATCTCATTTCTCAAAAACCAATTCAGTATATTGTTTGACAATCTGTCTAAGCATTCCAGATTGATGCCAAGGTCACGTAGAGATGCCCTCTTTAAGGCAAGGCCAGCCTTGTTTTTTCCTGATAGATCTGTGCACTTATTTGATATTTATTCCTGTTTTATTCTGGCTTTTGTTTTCATAATGTATTTCTAAAAGCTAATTTGAAGACTGCAGATGGGAGCTTCTTAATCCTGAAAGAAAAGTTAAAGCAAAATACTGCTTATTCCACCTCAAAAGTTCAGAAAATACCAGAAACATCAGATGTAAGTTGTACTATTGAGAATGTCATAACTGTTTTCTTGAAAACCACACAATTTATCATATAATGCCAGTATGTATGCCCCTTGCTCTTGTATGTCAAGATTTAATTTTTTCTTTTCCTTTTTAGAAAATTTTTTAAAATTCAAATCAACCTACAAAGCATGATCTCAAAAAGTGATAAAAGAATAAATGAAATCTGATGCCACTTCAATTTAGGAGAATATTCAGCAAAATGCCTTTTTAAACATGTTTTTCTTTTCTTTTTTACAGCTGGTCATCTCAAGGAACATGTGATGATCTCAGTTTTGTTTCATTTTTTCCTTTCATTTTATTTAAATTCTACCATTTCTACTTCTTCCATTCCAAATCATAATCTTCCATATGTCACTGTTCTCCCAGAAAGATATAAAGTAATAACATCCACCACAGCTTCATTCTATCAAAGCTTCCACCTAAAGATTCATAATAAGATAAAGAAGCTATAGCTTAGATTATCCATACTAATAAAAATGAGGCACAGTGGCTCAGTGGCTAAGATGCTGAGCTTGTTGATCGACAGGTCAGCAGTTCAGCGGTTCAAATCCCTAGTGCTACGTAATGGGGTGAGCTCCTGTTACTAGTCCCACCTTCTGCCAAACTAGCAGTTCAAAAGCATGTAAAAATGCAAGTAAAAAAATAGAAACCACCTTTGGTGGGATGGTAACAGTGTTCCATGAGCCTTTGATGTTTAGTCATGCCAGCCACATGACCACAGAGACGNCGGGTGGTCGCCAGTCGGCATTGGCCAGTGGATGGAATTCAGAGGAGGCCTAATCTGTGGGATCTAATCGGTCTATTGGAAGTAATTTGAACCCCACCACTGGACAGAGGCTTGTTTAAAGGGCATGCTAGAAGCTTCACCGTTTTATCATACTGTGCTCATTGTGTTCTTCCTCCCCTCATTGCAGTGGGAACCATTTGCAAATGCCCAAGATAGGAAAACGAGAGTAAAGCGTTTGCTGAAAATCACCTTGGTTCTCATTTTGTCTTGCAAGGGGTTTTTTTTTTTTTGGTTAAATGCCTTTCGTGAGTTTCAGACATGATGTCACCAGCCAAACTTCCTATATTTTGGTGATGGTTGTTGCTAGGCTGTCACACTCTTTGAACAGACTTGTGCAAACCGAGGGGGGGTGGTGGTGTATTTTTTTGACTTCTTCCTTAGAAGATTATATTTCGATACTCACATAATCTGGAAGTGGAGAATCCGGAGCAGACCGGGAACCTCTCAAAGACTGGGTGGCTTGTTCCAAAACTTTGTTGTGCTTTTTGGACAACAACGCAAACAAGCTGGAGGGGAAGGGAAGGAAAAACCGTTATATTGTTTCCATAGGAGTCGATCGTTCTGTTTTTATGAAAGAGGGGTGCCAATTTGGTACAGACCAATGTTCCCTAAGCATGGCAACTTGAAGATGTACGCACTGGGGAATTCTGGGAGTTGAAGTCCGTACATCTTTAAGCTGCCGGGCTTGAGAAACATTGCTATAGGCTCGTGATGGTGAACCTATTGCACATGTGCCAGAGGTGGCACAAAGAGCTCTCTCTGTGGGAACGTGCGCCGTCATCAGCTGCTCTCCTGGTTCCTGGTGTGCATATGCAGGGGGGGGGGTCAGCTGGTCTTTGCAGGCGCCGGAGCGACGGAAAACGCCCTGGAAACGCCTCAAAAAACACCCCCAAAACAGCTGGAATGGCCCAGAAAAATGGTTAAAAAACAGGCAGGTGCGCACTGCCAGCTGTTCTTTGGGTTTCCGGTGCTCCGGTATGCACACATGAACACACATGCTGCGTGTTCCGGTTTGGGCACTCGGTGCTGAAAAGGTTTGCCATCACTGCTATAGGCTCTGTCTTACAGAGGTAACAGAAAAAGAAAAAAAAAGCTTATCAAGTGTTTTTCCCAGAAATTGAATTTTATAAAGCAGGGGTCTCCAACCTTGGCAACTTTAAGACTTGTGGACTTCAACTCCCAGGATTCCCTTCTCAGCCAGCAAAGCTGGGAGGAAAAGTCCCTAAGTCTTAAAGTTGCCAAGGGTTGGAGACCCCTGTTGTAAAGGACATATTTATTTTGAAAGTAAAGTTATTCACAGGACAAAGACTGTGTTTGGACAGCATGAAAGAAAAAGTGAGTGCACTGCAAATATAAATTAATCCAGAACCACAATTCAAGCTAAAGAACTTGGATATTTCCCGTTCTTTATAGCCCTTTTCCTTCATGAGATTTCCCATCGTCCCTGTTATCACAGCAAGCTGACTTTTTTGCCGCAATTTTAGGACATTCGGTGGCTGAAAAGAATATCCACCTACCACAAACATTTTTTTTAAAAAAAAAATGAACCAAGGCTTAATGTTATATATATATCGAATTCAAAAGCCAGCCCTACTTTTTTTCCTGCAGAACCCAGCAAAATCTTCTTGTGGAAAAATGAAAAATCTGCTAACAGTTTCCTTTAGTTGCGCCAATATATTAGTTATCAAAAATGCCTTATATTCTCCATCCACTTGCAGCCTTTAAAAAAAGTGAGCTTTGTAGACCTTCAAAAGCGTCACAAGGGAGTGGGCCAAACTCTTCAGTCAAAGAATAAAGCAAAGAAATAGAACTTGAAACCCAGAGCTTTTTTGCAGGTAGTGCTCGACTTACGACGACAGTTGAGACCAAAATTACCATTGCTAAGTGAGGCGGTTTGTTAAGTGAATTTTACCCCATTTCACGAACTTTCCCCCCCACAGTTACTAAGTGAATGACTGCTGTTGTTAAGTGAATCTTGTGGTCATTAAGTAAATTTGGCTTGCCCATTGATTTTCTTGTCAGGAGGTCGCAAAAGGAGACATAAACTGGGAAGGTTACAAATGGTAATTACACGGGACAGTAGAACTATGATAAATGCATGCCATGTGCCAAGGGTCTGAATTTTGGTCATGAGAACACGGGGATGCTGGAATGGGTATGTGAAAACGGTGCCACGCTGGGTTTTTTCAGTGCCATTGGAACTCTAAACAGTCACTAAACGAATAGTTGTAAGTCCAGGACTGCCTGTTTTAATTTTAGAAAAACAAGGCATTCCCATTTCACACTCTAGGAGAGATAAAGACATGGGAACAGGTGTAGAGTTTCAAAAATATCTCTGGTAGCATACATCTGTGGGATTCACTTACCATCCCTACCAGTTCGTAAATGTGAGCATGCATGCATTTCTGTGCATGCGCAGTGCTCACACATTACGTCGGGGCGGGTGGGCCGAGCCTCCTGCAGCCGCCGCTACTGGTTCGCCTGAACTGGAGCGAACCAGCTGAATACTATCTTTGATTTGTAGTGATTACAGATCCTGTTTCTTCCTTGAACCTGGATCTGACTTAGCTCTGATTCTTATCAACTTTGATGCTCCCGAAAGTTGGAAAAAGATTTACAAGTGCTTCCATACTTCAGGAAGTCAGTAGCATTTTCATTGTTCTCCTCAAATTGGATAAACACTACTGATTTCTTGGAGATTCTCAGTCATCCAGGTCATGGTTGCACCAAAGGTGCTTTTTCAAAAGTCAAATGGACTTTGTTTTTCCAGGAAGATGCTTCACTTCTCATCCAAGAAGCTTCTTCAGTTCTGACTCAAGAACCAAGAAGCTTCTTCAAGTCAATCAGAACTGAAGAAGCTTCTTGGATGAGAAGTAAAATGTCTTCAAGGAAAAAGAAAGTCCAGTTGCCTTTTTCTTATCACTTTCTGGACCTAACTGTCTCCACCAAAAGCTACCAAGAAAACTATGCAAAGGACTGTGTAGGTGTCAGTATAAGGTGGGATGGAGAATTAATTTCAGAAAGAAAAATGCAGCTTTGTGGGAGAAATGTGGTCGAATGTGGAC